TGCCAAGCGAGCTGGTTCCCCAAAACTCGCGTGTTAATACATGTATACTGCAGTTTCTTATCGAGGAGTTGTGTTCCTAGTTTTGTCGTTAAATGTGTTTTCTAAATCCAGGATGAAAAAAAAGATATAAAGGGTTCTGTTATTTTAAAAAGCCTTACAGTGCGAGTCAAGTGTAGGCCAGGTTGTTTTATAAAGATGATGGTTCAGTTTGTTATTCAAGGTCATTGGTAGGACACGAACGTTTCCTTTACTCGCCAATCTGCCTTAATGTATTGGCAGCATGTTTCTCCTCCAACCCCTTTAGACACCTACATATTAATCATACAAAACGTTAGTATATGTTCGCGGATCCTCGCCTCACTCAACTCGAGAACAACGAGCAACGCAGCTTGCTGACATGGCACGGGGTAGCACAGTTATTTTTTCTGGAGAGGCAACTTGGCTGTAAAGTTGCTTGCAGATAAAGTATATTTTATCGCTGTTGGCTGGTACAGTTACTAGCGGTAAAGTCACTGCACCCTTCTTCCCTGACACTGTGGTTGAAACAGCTCGTTACTGCAACGGGTAATGAATTCTTAGATGCTATTTTTGTTTTGCAAGGTAAATAAAATCAGCATATGGCTTGTTACACAAGTCTGAAGAACCTGGCAAGCCTGCTCGGTTTTTACCTTTACAGCTACAAATAGCGACACCACCAACACAGACAGGCTCTGTAATAACGCGGGCGGGATTGATGATGCACTGTCCAGTTTGCAGCTAGAACGCGGGTAATTAAAGCAATTCCTCCCGCTCCCAACGTTCTTTCCTGAAGCGTTAAATTAAAAGCAATTTATTTTCTCAGTAGCACATCTGGTTGACCATCTCGAACACTGCCATGCCCTTCTTTAAAAGGATGTATGCCTAGCGGGCCCCTGGATACGGAATAGAAGCAAACAGATAAGAAAAACTGAACAAGGTGCACACAAATATGTAATGTTCACTGTTATCAGGCATATGTTGCTTTCAATCTTCTGGACTCATATCATCTTATAAATGGAGATTTTAAGTATGATAACAATGTGCATTTATTAAGTATTTTAATGTCGTCAGACCCGCTAATTTTATCAACAACTGTGAATAACATGTTTAGAAGACGTCTCCTATTCCTGTAAAAATGTTATTCATTTAAACTACCTCTTATATTTTACTCTAAAACGAAATATACATAGTTATTAAATTGTGTATGGTGTCTCATAAGCCTTATTGGCTGGGTGAACGATATTTTATTATATATATATATATAATCGTTCACGTGACACCTTAATAAACTATATCTGTCTGTCTGTCTGTCTGTCATTACAAGTGCATCATCCTATACCCCTTGAGTAACTTGTCCCGTGTTGTTTTAATACACTAACTAGTGCCGGTAGGCCCCCTCACACGCCCCTCTGTAGGCTAACCCCCTTGTAGTAGACTAAAGCTGCAAGTAATTCCCTTTTAGTTGAAAAGGAGCCTCAGTGAGATGGGAGATTCTGACTCTCAAATCTAGACTTGCTTCATTTAGAGCTTTAGCATTGCAGAAAAGGCTGGGCGAGAAGGATATAATGCGGTTTAGGGACTGAGAGGCAAACTACCCCTACTGTAAACCAACATATCCACATGAAAGTTTTAGCTATTCATATAAACACTTTTTGTTTATTTAAAAGAACAGAACACCGATGTCCGTGTTACTGTGATAAGACAGACGTTCCGTGTGGGTGACTTTACGGCGTGTCCTGCCCGGTACTCCAGCTGTGATTGTATAACTGTCGGTACCAACTAAAATTGATTTGTCTGCCTTCCGGGGCCCACTCTGACGTATCCGGTGACCGTAACGTGTCAAGGCGCTACTTTAACTGATACAATTAGGCAATCTAATAATGTGATTGTCTTACATCTTTGAAACAAATAGGTTTTGGGCCAGGTATTTCAAGAAGTTGACGGTTGACAAAGTAGACTAAAGTTTATCGATTATAACTTCTTTAGTATACTGTATCGGCGACGTGTATAGCTTTTAGACAGTTGTGAAGAAACAACTACCAATAATACATTTTTCTACTTGAATATTTTATGTTCTCAGCACTGAATGCGCAGTCAACATGTTCAATAATCAACAATAATAATGTTCAATTAATAAGTAACAAATGTTAATAAAGAAATTATGAATAGTATATGGATACTGAAACATAGTCAAACAATGACGTGGAACATCAAGTAACTGTACACGTTCTTGGTTGTGAAGTAATACCCAGGTAACAAGACAACATCAAATGAATATCAACCTGAGTCAGTGGCCGTTTTTCTCCATTATGTCTGTAATATATACTCACGGGCGAAAGAAAGTATATGAGAGATGGTGGTTAAATGAATCAAACAACAGCAAGACATTCGGTGGTGATGTGTTTGATACGGGTAACACAGCTGTGTTTTCGGACCTAAGTGGGCAGTGTTTAGGAGATTCATTTTGACAGTCCAGTTTTCAATCGTATACTTTTAATTCTTTATTTTGCCCGGCAATGTACAATAGTGTTGTGTTGATATATGTCTAATAAAGCAGCCGCATATTTTCTACCAGATACGGGACATCAACCGGAAATATTTTCCAACAGCACAACACATTGACGTGAGTCTGGAACGTCGTATCAGCATCCCAACCAATCGCAGAGCTATGTCACCGCAACCCAGCCTCTGATATGCATATGTGTGTCTGCAAAACACGTTCGCCGGCTGACTCGCCACAGCACAATGTGAGACATGTGATCGAAAATCTTCGTCATAACACTTTTTAGATATATGGAATATCTCCGCCACTGCTGGTTTTACTGTTCGAAAGATTCAGAAGCTGTCTGTCATAATGTAATTACAACATTGTGTGATGCGTGTTCTTCAGATCATGTCATGTAGGTCACAGAGGGCATGGTTACTACACCTATAAAACTGGCATGCAGTTCTGTCACAGTTGCTTGACTGAGTAAACCATTTTATAAAAAACGAAAAACAATTTGGCCCCCCTACCTAACAGACTACTTTTTCCTGATTGTCGGTTAATACAATGTGTTGTGCTGTAGAATGCACTTGATGTCGTACTGTTTTTGTGTATATATATGTTACAGTGAATATGTCAAATCAGTGATTTTGTAGAATCTGCGGTGGTTTCACAAAAGCCCTGGAATTCCTAGGGATTTAACAAAATCCCTTCTACAAAATCAATAATTTGACATATTCACTGTTACATGTGTGTGTGTGTGTGCGTGTGCGTGCGCGCGCGCGGGTGCGCTCGCGGTTATATGCGTGTATGTACTCCTAATTAAAAATCAGCCTGTTAATTTTGTTGAAGCGCGTTTACGTACAAAAGTGTTTATGTATGTGCATAATAACAGAAAAATGTTGTAGTAAATTCTTAAATAAGCGAAAGTACTTCTGCATAGAATGCCAACTGGCTCCATGGTCTAGCAGATAGAGAATATGTCCGGAGAGCAGAAGTTCGGTGGTTTGATCTCCTGGAGGTGTCATACGAAACGACGTTAAAACATTTCATGTAATCCCCCTAATTATTCCTTACTCCAAACGACGCATCCCTTCTTCATTGATAATTGGGCTGTTCCATTATTCTACAGGGCCAAAAATCATTTCCCACGCTGCCTACAAATTTTTGTTGGCTGTTTGGGATGTAGGCAGTTTGGAACTGTAGGCAGTATGGGACCTAACCGTGTGCCTGGGTGGAATCTCTGGGGACTAGCACTGTGAAACCAGCAGACATAGACATATACGCGGACACACACACTGGCCCACACAAACGTACCATCACACAGTCGTGTGCATTCACGTCCATTTATAGTACAATCATAATTTCACCACACCACTATATCAGTACATAATAGGTTGTTGCATTGTCAAAAGTGAATATGTTTGGCTCCTGAAAATAACGATATGAGCGTTCGAACTGCTGTGGTAAATGCTATTTGTATCTGTGGTCTCATTGCGTTACCAGTGTGACGTGCAGTTTACCTCATCACAACGTTACATGTAACAACCCTGCACACCATTTGGTTAAATCGCATGTAATGGAGACATGCCTTGTATAACTGTTCAATAATGTTGTGTCACTTGTGCAATTCCGTTATGCTTTTAACATTATTATCATGAGCATAGAGCATTATATGAGACACCGTGGAACGGTGCTTCAATGCACACAACCAAACAGTCTCTATGAGATAAATCATGGCACGCGTTGTGAACTATATTTCGTAAGAGTTAGCGTTGGAACACTGTCGATGTCGGCGCCTTAGATGACGTAGCTAGTACTTATGTTATAGAAGATTAACAAATTATATGTACAGCAAATCGCGTATCAGCAGGATAGTTGCCAGCAACGTATAATTATTGCCATAGTTGTCTCGAAACGTTTCTTTGTTGAATATAATGCTGGGACGCGGGGGCACTAAGATGTCGGAACCGAAAGATTTGTATTGATCCTTCCTTACTTCCCTAACTCGAAACAACGGATTATTTTTCTCTGTTCATACGCTTTTGGGGATGTGACCACAGGCATACCATGTTCATGTTCAGCGGAACTCAAAACAACGCAGTTTTATCTCGAAACAGTGGAGTAATTATAAGCAGTTAATGAATTCAGTGTATCTAGCATGCAGCATCCAGGTCGATCATCAAATGTCCACAACGGTTTGCAGTCTGTCCTTGTGTGGCTCTCTTTCGCTATGGACTATATATGAGCGATGTATACGAGAAGTGCATTGGTATCAGTGGTGACAAAATCACGAAAAGGATGCAGTTCTCATGTTCTACATGTACATTAATGTTCCCGTGTGTTTCAGGAGAACATTTGGCTTGCATGTGTTTGTCTTAAGAGCTCCCAGTGGGACAGGAGATCCTCACAATGTTAGCGAATACCTGCCGCTTCTATTTACATGAGAACAACACTAGTCTAAAATATATAATATATTTTATTAATGGTATGGACATAGACACTCACAAGCAGATATATATCTTGTTAAACAGAATTAGTTTTCCCTTTAAATGTGCGATATATTTGTAGAAAGGCGTGATATAGGAATGTTGTACGGAATAAGTATTGATGTCAAACTGATTCTAGAATTATACAGTGGAAAACATGATGGAATAATAGATTTTGACATGAATTTGGATATACTTATATCCTTCAGAATGTGAAACGACACGGTACATATTGGGTCTATGGCTGGTTCGTACAGGAATGTGACGTGAGGTAGGTTGTTTGTGTAAGATGCTATATAGTGATACCAGGCACAACAGGTTTGTAGCCAGAAAAACCTGGTTTACACCCTGACGTCTCCTTCGACTCAAGTTATCATCTCCTCACACCATTTGATCTGGAAGGTATTTCAGGACCACCGAAAGACTGTGGCTGAGTGAATTTATTGCGCAACATGGCCCAAGTTCTAGTTGCGAGCGAGAGATACTGAGCGGCGGTTCCTGGACCTCATCTTCAGAAGAGTCTGTTCAGCAGAGTCTGCTCTTTCCTGCGCATCTTCAAACTCCTGCTGTGCACGGCGGTATTTGTTCAGATTTGTGGCAGCCATTTCCTCCTGAAACAGAGAATGTTGAAGAGTTTCATGAGAGACATATCAACATAATTCATGAATTTTTAGTTATGCTCTCAAAAGCCGTTTCCACTTGTGGCTGATAAATACAAATATGTGTTGCTTTATCATCGTTTAATGTAATAAATTCATTGTGTCGTTCGTTAAGTTACCTACTCTGGCTCAAATATAGTGTTTTATTCCGACTTTCTATATCATCAGGTATGTATCTTTGAATGCACTTACAGCTTCTTCAATCTGAGTCTTCAGGGTTTTGATCTTGGCATTGAGCTTTTCATTTATGGCCTGGAGTCTTTCCTGGTGTTTCCTATCCTCATCCACCTGGAAGGCGATTTCCTTGAGGCGGCGCTCAGACATTCGAGATGTCTTAGAGGTTTCAAGATGGCGGCGCTGTTCTTTGTCAAGTTCGGCCTCAAGCTCACGAACCTGGCAAAAGAAAAACAAACAATCTGTCATGATAAGAGGTTGCACTGTTCAAATCAGCTATAGAGACCAACAAAGGTAAAAGTACAATTTGGTGGAAAATTCGATGCCAAAGAATTCGAGTAGTTTTTAAAAATCTTACGTACCTTCTGTTCTAGTTTCTGTAAGACCATCTTGCCTCCCTTGAGTCCAGAGGCTTCAGCTTCATCAACTCTGACTTGCATCTCCTTCATTTGAATATCCATGTTTCTCTTAATCTTATCCATTTGTCTGCTGTGTTCTTGTTCAGATCGGAGTTCCTCTGCAAGACGAGCAGCATCAGCTACAGCACGTTTGTAGTTGTCCTCAGCTGTTTTCACCTCGGTTTGAACATCTTCAAGGTCAGACTGGGCAGTGGTCATGTCGATGTCGTGTTTTCTCTTCTGAGCTGTTAGTGTAGATACCTGAGCTGTGAGTTCGTTCACTCGACCTTCAGCTTCCAGCAGCTCAGATTCTGCGGCCTTGCGGGCACGATCACCTGATTCCAGAGCCGACCTCATCTGATCAATCTCTCCCTTCATGGTGTTACAGCGGCGGTCTAGACTTTGGTATGCTTCACGAGCCTCGGTGCAGTTTCGTTGTTCCTCTTCAACCATTGCTTCAAACTCCTGAAAAAGAATAGATTATCATTATACATGTTCACTTGTAGTATACAACTGATCATGTTTCAGTGTTATGACACATTAAATAGGTCTGAAGGTATGCAAACCAACCTTAGCTTGAGCTTGGTATTTCTTAGCATAGTTCTCGGCCTCGGTACGAGCCCTGTTTCCTGTGTCAACAGCAACTTCCAGCTCAGCAATGTCCTGTTCCAGAGATTTCTTCACCCTAACAGCATCCATCTTGCTCTTGTTCTCAGCATCCAGACTGACTTGCATAGAGTCAAGAGAGCGCTGGTTGTTGCGTCTGAGGATATAAACGTCATACAATGTCTGTTCCACAATTCGTGAATTTAAGTAAGCAGTTATAAATGGTGGTTTTGAATCATAACTGTGAATATGAAACTATTGTTAAGATTCGTTTTAGTTGTGAATGATAAATAGTTAGTATGAAGAAGGGAACTTGAAGAAGCACTTTTTTCGACTGCGGTATTTCGGTCATGAAAACACAATACAGCACGATTACAATCAACTGACCTCAAAGTGTCAATTTCTTCCTCTTTCTCAGCAATACGTCTCTCGGTATCTCCACGTGCATGTGAAACCTCCTGTTGGGCACGAATAACCTTCGCCTCCTCCTGTTCAAGAGCAGCTTCTGCTTCAATCAAGGCGGCCTGGAGTTCCTCCTTCTCTAGCATAAGACGTTTCTTTACCTTTTCCATCTCACTGACACTATGACCATCTTCAGTCAGTTGCCTGTTCAGCTGAACGGTTTCATCTGAAATCCAAGGTACGTTTTGAAAAGTTGAACAGAAATAGAAATACAAGATGTTCCTAATTCTAAGTGCCCAAATCAGACACCATTATGATGTAGACTCACCAGCCAGATTCTTGTTCTCCTTCCTCAGAGACTCCATTTGGCTGTGGCATTCATCCATCTCACTTCGAAGGCGGAATAACTCGGTGGAATAATCCCTGGATTCCTTCTGAGCACATTCTAACTCAACTTGAAGATCCTTCACCTTTGTCTGCCATTCCTGTGCAGTTTTGTCAAAGTTTCGCTGCTTCTTCTCCATGTTATGAACAGTAGCATTAGCCTGTAAAGAGAACAGCATCTGATTCACATCGGGATTTAAAACTGGGCCGACAGAAAATGTATTTCGATTAAAAGTAATCACACTTAGAGTTCCGAGCTTTTGCGTTCACGATGACCACATTTGATGATGTAATAATAATAACCATAATTATGATTCAGTAAAAGTGTTGATAATCACTTGACTGACCTGAGCTAACTAACTAACTAACTTTAAGTCTCATTCTGATCATACTGACTTAGATATACCCGTGATATTAAAGTTACACTCATATAAGACACACTCGATCTATTGTGTTTGATGTTAACTATTGTTAACAGTAGTAAACCAGTATCACATATATACAAATCATTGCCGACTCGAAGTAACAATCAATGAGTTGTATACCCTCTCAACGTCAATCATGAGATCTTCAAGCTCGCCGTCAAGCCTTGCTTTAGCCTTCTCAACGGAACTACATTTAGCTTGCATTGCTTCCATTGCTTGCTCTGTTTCGCTCAATTTGACTTGGAGACGGCGTCTGTAATTGAAAACGTCATTGAATATTCAGTTGTTTTACCTAAACAGACAGAATAAACCTGTGTTAGTATGTGCTTGAGTTGCGTAGGGGTAACAAAGCATAGCACGTTTTCAATGTTATTCACATATCCATAAAATTCGTTTATTCCTTAAAATGCTGTACACTGTGCACAGACACTTTTAATTTCCAGTTATTTAGTTATTAATTGGTGTGAAATATTAGTGGTTTTGTTACTTTGACTCTTCGAGTTCCTCAGTTCTAGATGACCCTTCTGTCTCAAATTTGGCTTTCCACTGCATAACCTCGCCGTTGGCCTTGGACAACTGACGCTGGATGCTTGTGCGGCTCTCCTGTTCCTCCTCCAGCTGCACCTGCAGGCTCTCTACCTCCCCCCGCAGGTGACGGCCCTCAGTCTGGACCTTCTGGCGGATCTGTTGAAAGGAATAAAGGAGATACTGAGTATACTGATGCACTAGTAAGTGTTAATACAAATTTGCTTTAGAAAGTATTTAAAACTTAACAAGAAATATTGGATCATAAACATGTAAACATGTAAGCATTCAATCGGTATATGTACCTTAGTCTCATCTTCCAAAGAGCGCTTGCTTTCCTCCAGCTGGCTGGCCAGAGAAGACTTTTCCTTGTGGGTTCTACTGAGGGTACGTTCAGTCTCCTCCAGCTGTCGTGTCACTTCAGTCACCTCAGATGTAAGTCTGTTCTTCTGGGTCTGTAGATCATTGAACTGGCGTGCACCATCATCCAGCTGAGCGTTGAGGTCAGTCAGCTGACTCTGCATCTGCTTGGACACCACATCTGAGCAGCCCTGGAATGGGATTCCATAACTTACAAGTATTCGAGTGTTATTTGAAGTAATATACACAACCATATTGTTTTGTTCAAACTCCTTTCAATTCTAATGATGTGCAAGCATTATTATCATCTGAAATGAAACTTAATCTGTAGACAATTAAATACAGTGTAACATAAACGAAAACTGTAAGCCATTACATCATTTAAGACACAAGTATTTACGGAGATAATTGAATGCTTCACTTAATTACCTTGTTCTTCGCGTGTTCAAGTTCCGTTTGCATGTCATCAATTTCAGTCGACATTTGCATCTTCTCCTTCTCAAGCCTGAAATGCAAAGGACGATAATAACTGTCATCGAAAGAAGATACATTTGTGCTGCAAATTTTCATCCAGGTAAATAACGCGTTAGATTGTAAACTGATAATATAAATATATGCATTTATAAAGGAAGCTTAGACGCACCTGGATTTTATTTTCTGCAACATTTCAATTTGTTCACTCATGTCATTGGCAGAGTCTGCGTGCTTCTTGCGCATGGTCGCCACCTGAGCTTCATGGTGCATGTTCGTCTCCTCCATCTCACGGCGGAGCTTGACCAGCTCCTGCTCCCTCTTCTTGTTCAGCTCAATCTGCACACAAACAGTCACATGTCACAAAAGCGTTGCTCATGCACTAGTTTTTATTATTTATTCGTTTATTTTCAAAACTAATGGTTTTCTCACAACATTGTTGCTTCATACATTTTCTTATATGACACGTCTGGTGTCAGTATGATCTGAGCAGCTGTGTGATAAAATAATGACAATGTGACTTAAATTGTAGTATGATACTGTAATGCTTGAGCTAGCTGAACAACTGTTTGATCAAGTAATGCAGTGTCCTGGGTAGTTGTGTGATCCAGTAATGCAGTGACCTGGGCAGTTGCTTATCCAGAACAACTGTTTGATCCAGTAATGCAGTGTCCTAACATTATGTGACCTGGGCAGTTGTGTGATCCAGTAACATTATGTGTAATCCAGTAACATTATGTGACCTGGGCAGTTGTGTGACCCATTAATGCTAGTGTGATCTGGGTAGTTATGTTATAGAATAATACTAGTATTACCTGAGCAGCGGTAGCGCCTCCGGCTTCGTCCAGTCGCTCATGGAGCTCCTCCAATTCCCTCGCTAATTCCATCCTCTGCCTTTCAACCTGAAACAGAAATATACTATGCATGAAACATGTGTGAAGGATTTAAACCATAATATCTTACATTTCATTTGTAATGTCTTTAAGATAATCTGCTTCCTTCATGATGCTTTTCACCTATGTTAAAGTAACATCATAGCTGTGGATATTGCACCGACCTGTTGACTCGACCCGATGAGCAGCCGCATTAACATATGTCTTTCTGTGGTTCACAAATGCAAGTGGCTGCTATAAAACCCACCTTTCCGCGTGTTTGCTTTTCAGACTCGAGCTCCTGTTCATACTCATCAAGGCGATTCTGAAACATGAGTTGTTAACAACGTGAGATTATTTGTGGTTATATTCTGAAAACATTAATCCTGATATATCTTACGATTGATGCTCAAACTATATTAAGGGTATATGAGTTAGTTAATCATGCATGTAGCTTGATAATGTATAAAAGTATGATGACATTACCTGTAGTTCTTTGATTTTCTTCTGAAGTTGGTTGCAATGCGTCTGTTCCTCTTCCAAGAGATTATTTAGGTTAGATATTTCCTTATCCCTCCTGAAAAAGATATTAAGTGTTTGAAAGCTTATAGGTGAGAAGTAGGCATTTCTTTACAGTGAGTGATTGAGTTAAGAAATATTCCAGCAATATCATGGCGGGGGACACCAGAAATGGGCTTCACACACATACCCATATGAGGAATCGAACCCGGGTATTCGGCGTGACTAGTGATCGCTTATCACAAGGCTAACCCACTGTCCCATATTTCTTCAAACTCAGGTAATAGTTTTTAAGGACTGTTTTGTAAAACAGCAATCAAACGTAATTGATACCTGTAAGACACTATGTACCTATAATGACCGTGACTTAGTTGGTAGTATGCGGGCTGAGATAGGAAAACAGTTAATCTTTACCTCTTGCCTGATTCCAGAAGTTCCAGTTTGACATGTTCCAGGTCTTGAACAACCTCTAGTGTTGCCTTTAGATCATGTTCTAACTTTCTCTTCGCTTTTTCAACATCGCATCGAACCTTCTTTTCACGCTCCAGAGCATCTTCAAGATCGTCAAGTGTTCCTTCAAGCTTAGTCTTTAGTTTGTTGAGGTGATTGACCTTGTCCTCCTCGGCCTGGAGGGAATCCAGGGTTTTCTTGTGTTCATCGTCAAGGTTCTTCTTGCTCTTTAATAGCTTAGACATTGCTTCTTCTTGTTGTGTCATTTCATCATTGAGGGTCCTGATCTGAGCATCTTTAGTCTTGCACTCGTGTTCAGCCTATAGATCGAAAGACAAATAGTTGTAAGAGGCTGTCCATTCTCATTTGTAATCAGATGATCATAACATATAGTTTAGTGTTTAATCATGAACACATGTTGTATTACAGTTATCCCTGGTTATTATGCTCCTCGTCATACTGACATGCTCGTTCTGCCATGTTTTTCTCTGAACGGGATTCCTCAGTGAAAATGTCATTGTAACCAGGATGGCATTTGTAACCAAAGTCAATGCCAGTGTTTTTCAGAACAAATATTCCAGTTATATGGTGATAATTTCCTTCTTTTTGTCTTTTTAGGAACAACTGACAACGTAAAAAAACTATTACATCAATCTCAGTTGTTTTCGCAGATCATTCTCACACAGCTTTTAAACGTTAAGAGTCATTAGCTGCAACCCACAACAATAACAACCCACTTACAGCACCTTAATGCTAGTATTATCATTTATCTCCAAATACCGCAAACCAGGGGTTTATCATCCAGACCTTCTTGACAATACACTACTCAGAGTGTCATCCTGAATGATTTCACTGCTGTTACACTTAAACGTCTATGCGTGGATACTACATCATGGAGGTAATGAGAAGGTATTGGAGCAGCTTTCATATTTGATGGACACACCTATAGAATTATCAGTTGGCTCAAGGCAATAAATGAAAAATACATTTATCAACCTATCTCGGGTATAATTATTCACATTTGACCCATGGATCGGCAATGAATATGCTTGTATAAAAAGGGTGGATTGGATGGAAGTGCCTTGCTTCCTATCTAACCTACTCTGCATCATATCAGTCAATTTTGTTTTTCACCTTAGTAGTTATAATCCAATATTTACCGCTGAGCAAGAGGTGGAAGGACAACGAGGTAGGACTCTATAATCAACCATATATATGCACACATACCTTAGTCAATCCGCACTCTAGGGTATCCATATCAGTCTTCATGCTTTCAAGCTGACCCTCCACAGCTTTGTGTTTTTCCTTCAGTTTGTCATGAGCATCCTCTTCGTCCAGGAGTTTATCCTCGAGATCTTTGGTTTGTTGATCCATATCTTCCTTCTGTTTAAGGAGCTGCTCAATTCGTTCTTCGCAATCATCAATGGTGTCTTGTTGGGTTTGCACTTGGAGAAACAGATTATTCTTGGCTTCGCTCAAGGTCACACTCTGTTCCTCAAGCTCCTTGCACCTCTGCGCCACTTTCTCGAGCTCATCCTTTGTTTTTCCCAATGCTTCCTCCTTCTGTTTCATCTCATCTTCAGCAGCAGCAACACTGAGGAGGGGCTTGACCTTGGTGTAGAATCTCCACCAGCACCAGTTCCTCATGGCAAGCCATTTACGGATGTTCTTCTGGATAAGTTCCAGTGCAACTCTGCAATACGTAAGAAACTCATTTCATTCCAATGCCATACAAATAATTATCATAACGCTCAAGATAGAAAACACAGTGGACGTAATTTAATCTTGTAAACGTTTACTTTTATCATAATGAGGGTTATCTTACCTCTTGTCATGGAGATTCTTGAGATATTTCCTCATCAGGTAACCACGGATGTGAGCCTGGAACAATGCTACAATAACAGATAGACGTTCATCACGGATTTCTTCCAGGTAACCAAGAACACCTGCTTTGAAGAACACCTTCGTGTTACCAAGACGGTACTCATCTTGATTCATCTCCAAAGCTTCCAGGATCTTGCCGGAGACAACTTTACCTTCAACGAATCCTTCTGGTATCGCATTGGGAGCTAAGATAGAGTATCTGTAAAAAACAGTTCTCAGTAGAAACACTACATAAGCGACGAGGCATAATACGTGAAAAAGGTTACATGAGTATATAGCATTGCTAGCCAAAAAATCATTACTAAAATGCATTTTCATACCAATTTTCTTACTTTGAAATTATTTCATTTGATATCATTTTATGCAATAGTCCTTGTAATCGTACCTCTGTTTGAACTCTGAGTAGATGATTCTGCTAGGGAATCCTTTCCTACAGATACGAATACCCTCCAGTACACCGTTACACTGCAGTTGGTGGAGCACAAGACCGGCGTCAATCAGACCTGAATTCCATTGATATAGATATTTAGAGCTTGAATTGCTCTATTTATTGTGAGCTGCCAACATCCGTAGGTAACACTCAAATATACTACTTTGGACCTCGTGCAATCTCTTTTTATTTAAGTTCAATTATGAATTGATATCGTTATTATAAATAAAAATGAAAGCCTGATATGATACAGTATATTTCGACAGATACATAAAATTAGATAAGTTCCTTGATATATACCTGGCGTCTTGGTCTCGTTGGGGATGATACAGCGGACGAAGTGAGGATGTGTGCAGTAAAGGTTCTTCATAAGCTTGTTCAAAGATTCCTAAAGGATGTTAATTTACAACACGATTATAGAAATATGCATTTTAAGGGTAAGAAATGAACTGTATAACAGACACATTACAAAGTTAGATGTTTAGGACAGTTTTTACTGTTAGCTTACATTATGAGCATGTTAGATAGCTATGATAACACAATGCCATTTAGAAAGTGGTCAAATGTAACATATGTTATATTTGGGATTACACTTTCTTAGTAAAGTACAAATTCTAGTACTTTTGAGTTGAGCCCCATCCGGGATTCGAACTCACACCCTCAGAGTGAGGCACCTAATCGCCAGCACACAAAGTCAGCCGCCTAACCCGCTCAGCTACCGCGACTTCCACAAAAATGGAAGTCGGACAACTGTTAGTCTAGACTGCGGGCTTTGTGTACCCCTCTGATAAGTGTTAATTGGCACTGCTCCCACGGCCGAAAGCTATGATTACACAATTCCATTTAGAAAGTGGTCAAATGTAACATATGTTATATTTGGGATTACACTTTACTAATGTAACATATGTTATATTTGGGATTACACTTTACTGAGAAAGTGTAACATATATTACATGCTAGATAGCATTACAAATCTGTACCCTGTGAGTAGAAGAGATGGTTTGGAAAGCAGAACTCTTCTTTTTCTTCTTGCCAGCTCCAGCCTCAGCAGCAGCATCTAGACAATCAAGATCATATATTTACGATGACTTAAGGCGTAAGAAGTGACAGTTCAGGTTTTAGTTCAGGTTTTAAATGATTTAAGACAGGTTTTAAATAGTATAAACATATCATCGTTGCACAAAATGATTTCACACACACAACACACACACACACACACACACACACACAACACACACACACACACACACACACACACACATTAATTGTTTCTTCAGGTTATCAATGTAATTCTGGAGAATCAATATATTTCTTTTCGTTAATGCATACCCCCTGCTGGTGGTGAGAAGAGCAGCTGGACAAGTGGTTCTTTGGACTGTTTCAGGAGATCCACAATGGTTTCGTTGACAGGATCCTTGTTCTTTTCCAGCCAGCCTCCAATGTTGTAGGGAACTGTTCCGGCGTAGTGCTTCAGGGCAAAATCACCATGTGCACCACCCTTCATAGACTTGTTGGGTTTAAGGAAGTTTGGAGATTTGCCCATGTGGTTCTCAGTCAGTTTGTCCTTGAAAGTTTTGTCGGATGCTTTGGGAAACATGCACTCTTCTTCCAGGATTGACAGGATACCAAGAGGCTAGACATGAAAAATAATGATGATATATTCTGCCAAAATAATGTCATATGTCAATTTATTTGTAATTAACGTTATATGTGATCATTATTTATACCTGTATGAGGCTATGTATACTTGAAAATATCAAATTTCGGAAACGATATAAGATTTGGAATTAACATGTACCTTTTCGATGAGCTCAATACAGGCCTGCAAGTTAATTACAGACCGACGCCATATATCTGGAACATTGCTGAGTGCGACGTTAAACAACAACCAATGCAATCCCATCTTATACGACGAGATACAATACAAACCTTTTCAATAAGCTCAATGCAAGCCTGCAGGTCCATTCCAAAATCGATGAACTCCCAGACTATGCCTTCCTTCTTGTATTCCTCCTGCTCCAGCACAAACATGTGGTGGTTGAAGAACTGCTGCAGGCGCTCGTTGGTGTAATTGATGCAGAGCTGTTCGAAGCTGTTGAACTGTTCAGAATAATTGATAAATTAATATATTGATCAAATATTTATTACATAATATCCATTCCTGAATCACTTAATATCATGACATGCTTTTCTTAACCTAGGTACAAAGTTACATATAAATTGGTCTTACATCAAAGATTTCGAAGCCTGCAATATCCAGCACACCAATGAAGAACTGCCTCGGTTTCTTGGTATCCAGTGACTGGTTGACTCTCTTCACCAGCCAGTTGAACACACGATCGTAGAGGGACTTAGACAGGGCACCGATAGAGTAGAGGACCTGATTCTTGGTTCTTCCTTGGGTGACGTAGTCCATGGCCACCTTGATCTTGGGTTTACACAGAGCCTTCAGGAAGTCACCACAGTTGACACCCAACAGGAAGGAAACCTTCTCAGCCTCAGCAGTTCCATCAGGCTCAGCCTGTTCACCCTTCTGCTTGAACTGCATTTCACCCATGTGTAGGATAGAGCCTGTGCACTTGTAGGCGCTGGTCTTTTCGTCTTCGTTGAAGCCCAGGACATCGAAGGCCGTCTGAAGTAAGCATATACATTTAGTATGAGCCCAAATTGTTAAGAACAATAAAGGTTAGGGTCTAACTATGAACAGTCTGAACATGTGTTCATGACATTTCGACTAACAATATTGTAATCAATTATGAAACTTACATCAGTCATCTTCATTTCCTCAACATCGTCAATACCATTGACGGTAAGGACTCCCTGGTTAATGAAGGTGAACAGACCAGCGTCTGGATTGGCCAAAATCTTCTCTGAAATATAAAGCATAGAAATATTTACACACTGAGTATATTTGTACCATTTAAATATCATCCCTAACTTTGGTTGAGAAAACCTAATCGTGGATAACACTAGAAATAAGATCATTCAGTGTTGGTAAACAAAGTAGAATAGTCTATACAACAAGCTATGATATGAATGTGCAGTAGTGAGTGTGTTAGTAATAAATACCGCATTGAAATACTGCGGGCGGTTCGCATGAATGATAGATCCAGGTTATGTTCCCATGGGCCCAATTATATCCAGTGTAAACAACCAGTCATTCACATACTCTATGTGATTATGAAGAGGAGAGTCAACTGCACATAATATACCCTAATAAATGCAAGTACGAGGCTATGATAACTAACCTGTAACTGATGGCACTGCTCCAGACAGCATCTGGTAGAAGATGTGGTAATTTCTCTCCACAGACTGTTGGTAGGTGACACGGGACTTTTCCAGTAGATCTGAAGCCGATTTATGATTTTCCAAATTGAAGAACATATATTTTGATGTGTATTATTCACAAACTCCAGTGCAGTAAATAATAGAGTTTTGCAACATCGTCAGTAATATCAATGTAAAATGAGGGCAGATAAGAAGAGAAATTCTCTCTCTGCATAACACTCTCAAGTCTGATAACGTGAAACACACTTCTGTGAATTCTTATATTATGCACACTAACATGGGCATGAAAGATAAATAATTATCACGACTGTCACGAATATCACATCACGTACATATTTATCAGTATATCCTGAAGTGAAAATAGCTTACAAGTTTCGATGTCGGCACCAGCGATCTTTCCAGAAGAAGCAAAGTGGATCCGGACGAATTTTCCCTGAAAAAAGTAAGACCCACATTCTGGAATAACATTGTCAAGTCATCCACATGAACGAAACTTCAAATCAATCATACAGTATCATAACTAATCATTGTGAATTAACTTTACTCTTATTTGTCAGCCGTTTTTTAGGAGAGGTGCTCGTGAATGGTGTGTTGAAAACTTACGAATCTGGAGGAGTTGTTGTTACGGGACGTCTTGGCGTTACCGTAGGCCTCAAGAACAGGGTTAGCCTGTACGATCTGATCCTCGAGGGACCCCTGGAATAAGACATGCCGCGTATTAACAACATGTTTGTTTTACTTCATATTGTCATCAGAAAACGTTGCTTTTAGTATTTACAATTCATAAGAAACTAATTTCATTTACCTTCTTTTCATCTGCATCCCCCTCTCCCTTGGAGGCGGCGGCGACAAAAGCGAAGTAGGCGATGACCTTCTTGGTGTTCTCAGTCTTCCCGGCGCCAGACTCGCCGCTAGGTAACATATAAGTATGTATAAACGTTCAGAGGACAATCTACGTTTTAATGTATGCAACAAGATACGATGCATTATAGCCTTTGGCGAGGTTGCTATTCTTGTAACATACAAACGGCCGTGTGAACACATGGGTGAATGCCTTGATGTAACGCTTTGAACAGTGTTTCAGTTACATCAACTTTATATGAGTAGAAAACTTTGTAGAGGTAGACGATCACGTAACGCCACGTGTACTGGTAGGGTGCTGACACACCAAGGGTTCGAACTCACGTTCAACGCGTTACTACGTGATCCAGGCCAGTACCAACTGAGCCATATAAACACACGGAGACAAGAAAGAAACACATAAGGGCAGTACTCACGTGATAAGCATAGACTGGTTTTCTCGTTCTGAAATCAAATCAAATATGGTATTAAGGTTACTGCTAATAATTTTCACCGGCCTATTTATGTGCATACAGATATTTGCAAGTATCACTTTAATAGACTTGTTCATTACGTGTAGTATCCACAACAGGCTCGATAGATTATTTGTTACATAGGATTCCCCACATTACAATTATTCGAAACTATACATTAAGACTCAGTTAATCGTACCTTGCACCATGAACTGGTAGGCATTGTCAGAGATGGAGAACAAGTGAGGAGGCATCTCGGTCTTCCTCTTGCCTCTGTACTTGGCAACGATGGACGGGGTGTAGATGGGGAGACGGCGGTAGGGGTTGATGGCGATACAGAACAGGCCTGAGTACGTCTGGAGGACGGAGATTATAATTTTGTGGTCAGTTGTTAGGCAGGTGCTGTTTTATTTATTATGTAGCATATATGGGATCATGTTGATCACATGGTTCGTCAATTGTCATTCAGGACAAGCCAGAATATTTTGTGAATTTACATTTTTATCCAGTAAATCAATTCTCAAAGAAATATGATTTAGGGGGATATTTTCTAGAAAAAATGTGAGTGTAAAGGTAATTTGAAAGACAATCCAGTTAACTCACATAGATTAACCCAGAAGTGTATCTAGCTCTCAAGTTGTACAGGACGCTGGCCTCGTTGAGGAAGGTCATGTTGGCGATGTCCTCGATCTTCTCAAACTTGGGAGGGTTCATCGACTGGATGTCATCCTTCTTAACCGTTTTCGTCTGTAACAATAACATTAACATTTAAATTACGTGTTGATGGATCAGAACATGAAAACGTGGTCAGGTCCAGTTAAACATAGATATGCCTATAGCTGAACTGAGAAATATACATGTCACTTTACGGACCTGTTTTGAGTCCACGATGAGGACGGTGCATTCCTCTCCTTTCGTACTCTGCAGTTCTGCGGCAACAAAGCCCTGCTCTGCATCGTGTACCCAGCAAGACTTCTTGGCATCGAAGTTTTTATTCTGCTCCTTCATCAGCTTCTTGCGGTCAACAGCAAGATACTGCATCTCAGGGTCGGCAGGGTCATAGGATGCCATATTGTTGAAGTCGACTTGAAATCGAAACGAAGAATCTGATTGTCGACCAGATCTGTGAAGAAAGAATAAAAGCAATTTGTGACAAAGTTCTCCAATGCCAATTTCTGTTCATACATTCCGTCCCAACATATTTCTATTTGTAATGCGCATAGACTATTTCTATAGACTACTTCTAGACTGGACTATAACTGCTTGGTAAATGTGTATCCTGCGATTTAACGCAGAAGCAAAGACATCACTCCAAGTCTTGAAATGAACAAAGAATCTTACTAAAACCAAGATGAAGTGGCTATACTTACGGTTCGAGCTGTTCTGCTTTGGTAGAACTGTGATAGGTATATATACTACATGAAATCTATATGCTTACCAGTTGTTATATAATGTTGTAATCAGATCTACTGACGGAAGACTAATGTAAGGCCGAAGGAAAGGTAGCGGGGTGGCGGAAGTTTGGGGCACGGGTGAGCTGAGGATCGTACACAGCGGGGTATATGGTTGTCTGTCCTGAGTGATTATTAAGTAATCAACGAAAACCCTTACGACCACCTGTGAAGGACCAGACTGGACTTACCCTCATATTGGTAATATCGGTTAAGGATGGAAATATAGACCATGGAAATAACATGACATGTGGTTTGTACAGGACTACTAGACTCTGGTGGACATTTTGACGAGGTTTACAGGAACTGCGACATCTATGACAGTGTGTCCGCGTTACCTTCAAAAGTCCGTTTACCAGACATGTATAATTTATAATAAACAGAGATGACACCTTTCTTATAATTTCGTTGTAACTTGTTTACGTGATAATGAAACCATAAGTATACATCTTACATATCCATAGAACTCTCCCCGTTGTTTATACATCTGACATATTCATAGATCTCTCCCCGTTGTTCATACATCTGACATAGACCTCTCCCTGTTTTTTATACATCTGACATATCCATAGAACTCTCCCCGTTGTTTGTACATCTGACATAGAACTCTCCCCGTTGTTTATACATCTGATATAGAACTCTCCCCGTTGTTTATACATCTGACATAGAACTCTCCCCGTTGTTTATACATCTGACATATCCATAGAACTCTCCCCGTTGTTTATACATCTGACATAAAACTCTCCCCGTTGTTTATACATCTAACATTGAACTCTCCCCGTTGTTCATACATCTGGCATATCCATAGAACTCTCCCCGTTGTTTATACATCTGACATAGAACTCTCCCCGTTGTTACTACATCTGACATATTCATAGAACTCTCCCCGTTGTTTATACATCTGACATAGAGCTCTCCCCGTTGTTTATACATCTTACATAGAGCTCTCCCCGTTGTTTATACATCTGACATATCCATAGAACTCTCCCCTTTGTTCATACATCTGGCATATCCATAGAACTCTCCCCGTTGCTTATACATCTGACATAGAACTCTCCCCGTTGTTTATACATCTTACATAGAACTCTCCCCGTTGTTCATACATCTTACATAGAACTCTCCCCGTTGTTTATACATCTGACATAGAACTCTCCCCGTTGTTTATACATCTTACATAGAACTCTCCCCGTTGTTTATACATCTTACTTAGAACTCTCCCCGTTGTTCATACATCTAACATAGAACTCTCCCCGTTGTTCATACATCTAACATAGAACTCTCCCCGTTGTTCATACATCTAACATAGAACTCTCCCCGTTGTTTATACATCTGACATAACCATAGAACTCTCCCCGTTGTTTATACATCTGACATATTCATAGAGCTCTCCCCGTTGTTCATACATCTGACATAGAACTCTCCCTGTTTTTTATACATCTGACATATCCATAGAACTCTCCCCGTTGTTTGTACATCTGACATAGAACTCTCCCCGTTGTTTATACATCTGACATAGAACTCTCCCCGTTGTTTATACATCTGACATATCCATAGAACTCTCCCCGTTGTTTATACATCTGACATAAAACTCTCCCCGTTGTTTATACATCTAACATTGAACTCTCCCCGTTGTTCATACATCTGGCATATCCATAGAACTCTCCCCGTTGTTTATACATCTGACATAGAACTCTCCCCGTTGTTACTACATCTGACATATTCATAGAACTCTCCCCGTTGTTTATACATCTGACATAGAACTCTCCCAGTTGTTTATACATCTTACATAGAGCTCTCCCCGTTGTTTATACATCTGGCATATCCATAGAACTCTCCCCGTTGTTTATACATCTGACATAGAACTCTCCCCGTTGTTTATACATCTTACATAGAACTCTCCCCGTTGTTTATACATCTTACATAGAACTCTCCCCGTTGTTTATACATCTGACATAGAACTCTCCCCGTTGTTTATACATCTTACATAGAACTCTCCCCGTTGTTCATACATCTTACATAGAACTCTCCCCGTTGTTCATACATCTAACATAGAACTCTCCCCGTTGTTCATACATCTAACATAGAACTCTCCCCGTTGTTCATACATCTAACATAGAACTCTCCCCGTTGCTCATACATCTGACATAGAACTCTCCCCGTTGTTCATACATCTAACATAGAACACTCCCCGTTGTTCATACATCTGACATAGAACTCTCCCAGTTGTTTATACATCTTACATAGAGCTCTCCCCGTTGTTTATACATCTGACATATCCATAGAACTCTCCCCTTTGTTCATACATCTGGCATATCCATAGAACTCTCCCCGTTGCTTATACATCTGACATAGAACTCTCCCCGTTGTTTATACATCTTACATAGAACTCTCCCCGTTGTTCATACATCTTACATAGAACTGTCCCTGTTGTTTATACATCTGACATAGAACTCTCCCCGTTGTTTATACATCTTACATAGAACTCTCCCCGTTGTTCATACATCTTACATAGAACTCTCCCCGTTGTTCATACATCTAACATAGAACTCTCCCCGTTGTTCATACATCTAACATAGAACTCTCCCCGTTGTTCATACATCTAACATAGAACTCTCCCCGTTGTTCATACATCTAACATAGAACTCTCCCCGTTGTTTTTACATCTGCGGCTTATTGTTTCACTGGTTCATGTTTATTGTTCAGGGAAAGATAGAAGAGCTCGAGTCATTCAGTTTTTCCTTTGAATGCAATACATGTTAAATGCCTGTTGTTGTTTCCTAATATGTCGTGAATCATACAGAACAGAGCTCCGTGGGTTATCTGAGATTGTCGCAGATTAGTGTATCCGCCTAAACAAATTGCTATGGTATACTAGTGGAGAATAGTTTCAAATCTCTGCCATCAGTGATAACATTTATGGCCGATGCAATTCCCCATTTTCTCTTGTAACATATACTCCCGTGTTTGCTTTTCCAAATGAACAATTGATTGGCCTTTGCATGTGTTTGTGACTGTTGCCACCGGTAGGGCAGGATACGTTCATCTTTACGCGAGTTCCCAGCTTCGCTATTCGATAGTGATTCATACCCACTTCTCCTGATGCAGTCTGAATGTCAGTTGTGTAACGGACGGCATTTAACAGAGACTTCTTATGTTGTAGGAAATAGTTTCTGCGGCTTCTACTTTCACAGTAGCCTATACTTTCCCTGAAGTAGTGATACCACACGACAGCCCAGGAAACAGGTCCACTGATGCAAAACCACATCGTCTAACGAATTATCACATGTAGTTGCAATCACGGAATGAGTGTCATAATGTACGTGATAAATGCATCCAAGCGGCCTATAACAACCTGTACATAACCTGAATACTGAATGAGAAACATTATCAGGTTTAATAATGCAGCCAAAATTGGTTAGAAGGGTCAAAACAAAAGGAATTGCTATTCGTTGTTGTGTCTCTGAGGGCGTTGAGTCATCATTCGTCTTTCTTAATTACCTTTATGCTGAACAGTATTGTAATGATTTATGACCTATAAAACTTGGATACAACACTTTCAATGACAATGTTCGGCACAATAAAAACTCTGCCCAATTAAAACAATAGATTTTACCCTTTTATAAGGACAGAAACGATTAGGAAGCTTTGAGGAAATCAGGATTATATCTCTACTGAAAAACGACTTGTCGACACAAAGGCGCATTATCAAAGGTTATCTGTGTTAAAGAAAAACAAAGCGATGAATAATATTACGACAGGTATCTACTAGTAGTTAGAACTATATTCTAAATGAACATAATGGGTTATGTGAGATCAACACTGAGTGAACAGGTATCTACTAGTAGTTAGAACTATATTCTAAATGAACATTATTGGTTATGTGAGATCAACACTGAGTGAACAACAGACTTGAGTTGTGGACCAACTGACCAGAAGTGACGCACTGAAACTTAGTTCCTGTTTTATTCAATCACTGTCGTAGTTAGCATTGCCTGAATCTTTGATTCATCAAGGTATGACAGGCTACGATCAGTAATCCTATCAATACCAGTATACACACAACACCCAAGTCCGCCCCAAGCGTTCTATATCTGTAGAAGTAAATCAGAATTGTCCACGTTAGCAGAAAGTAATAATTACCAACTTTATTAGCGGCTATATTCAGCTTTGATGTTTTGCACTCAAAGTGAAGAAATCCGCTTTTTCTCCACGACCGTATTGTACTTGGTACTTTTACATGTTTTGCTGAGTAATCTATTTCTC